TCTCTCTCTCTCTCTCTCTCTCTCTCTCTCTCTCTCTCTCTCTCTCTCTCTTGCAAGGCATATCAGTGTCCTCAGTTGAGTAGTGGGTAGGTAGCACATAAGGACACCTTAGGACTGGCTACTGTTATTCTCCTCTTCCAATTCCAGCTGAAGGAAAACTCCTGAAACAGAGATGAGAAAGCAAGTCAGTGCTGGGCCAGCCATTTGGATTCTATTTTCAACACAGTCTGTTTATTGTTTCCAAGGTCCATGAACAAACTCTGATTCCAGACTGGAATTTCTAAATCTGCCCCCAACATCATCATCATTATCACCATCAATATAATCATCATAGAATCCCTCCCCAACCCTCAAACATATCTATCTGTGTGTTCTGTCCTTAGAAACTCATAGAATGTCAGAGCTAGAAGGGACTTATCAGGCTGAGGTCAAGGAATAAAAACCCATTTTAAGATCAGCCTACCCCTGGAAAGAAAATTTGTTTGCTTTGGCCGGTAAAAGACGTGGACCGGGGAATCAGTCAATAAGTATTTATTAAGCACCTACTATGTGCCAGGCACTGTGCTGATACAAAGAAAGGTAAAAGAGGATCCCTACCCTCAAGGAGTTCACAGTCCTAATGGGGGAGACGACAAGGAAACAATCACATTTAAACAAGCTACAAACAGGATAAACCAGAGATAATCAACTGAGGGAAGGCACTAGAATCAAGAGGGATGGGGCAAAGCTTCCTGTAAAGGGGGTATTTTAGAGGGCACATGAAGGAAGCCAGGAAAGCCAGGAGATGGAGATGAGGAAAGAGCTCAGCTCTAGACCTGCTTCTCGGTCTGCCTCATTCTGTGATTTTAGACAAATCACTTCACTTTCTCACCTCTGTTTCCCCCTCTGTAAAGTGAAGTGGTTGGACTCTAAGGTCCCTGTTCTTGCCTTTTAGAATAGAAGCCCCTTAATCTGGGACTCTCTCCTGGCTGAGCTGAGTTATCTCTCTCCCAGTGGGAGAGCTCCTCCACTCTGTATTAACTGGTAGATATTCTTCTATGTGCACTTTTTCTAATTTCTATTTTGCTACAATTTGGATAAACAGGGTTGTTTTTTTTTTTGCTGAAAAAAAAAAAAAGAAAGAATGTAAGCAACCTGAGGCCAGGGGTGTTTTCACTCTTGTCTTTATGTCCCCAGCAATTATATGCATGGGAGAGATGTTGTGTAGGGAGAAATGACAAGATTTGTCAGCTGACTGTCAGTTATGTGGGACAAGCAGTTGAGGATAATGTTGACCTTAGGAATGCCTGCCCCATTGTCTCCCCAATCCCTTCCTTAGGATCACAAGGTCATGTCTGAGGAGCTTGATATGAGACCGTCAAGGATGAGAACTGTTAAGTGGTTTGCTCAAGGTCCCATGGGTGGTGAGTGGCAGAGACCAGAGTCACACTCAGGATGTCTTCCAACCCCCAATCTAGCAGCCTGCCTGCCATACCTACCCCATGGCCTCCTCTCTATCAGTGTCCCCCCGTAGCCTCCCTCTCCTTCAGGGTCTCTCAGCCCCCTCTCTTCTTCTAGAGGGAGAGTCCTTTTCTTCATATGGTCCCCTGTCCCTGATAGATTCTTCTGAGTTGTACAACATGGAAAGAACCCTAGAAAGGCTTTATGCCTCAGTGACCCTGCCTAGTTTCCAACCTCCATATAAGACACTCCAGACTGTTTGCAGGCTCTGTAGACCCCTTACTCCCTCTAGCTCAGTTCCCAAAGAGGAGGGAGGTGAAAAATAGGAAGGAAGGCTATTTGTCTGGCACCCAACATGGGACCTCATTCCTTGACCCATCTCCTGGCTTTCCTGTCTTCCTTCATGTGCCCTCTAAAACAATTACCTGAAGCCTTGGCAAAAAGCACCTGCTGGTCAGGGCTCTGGGCGATGCAGGATAGGAAAATCTTCTGGTCCTCTATCTTTTCTACTTCCACTTTCAGCAGGGCCACAGAGTTCACGGGGATTATGCTGGGAATGGAGGTAAAGGTCAGTGCCTTCTCTTCCAGGGCCTCCTGTCCTAAGTTCCCCAGGCCCTAGATGGGGCTGCACTTAAAAGTCAAGGACTTGATTCTTTAGGACAGAGAGATCTTTTGGGACCAGTCAGAGCCTTCCTGTCTCTCCGCTTGATGCTTCCAACTAGCCTTGAAGATCTTCCCTCAAGTGACCTTCTCCTTCCCAATTTTACCAACCTGTCTTCTTGTTCCTGGAATGTCTTCAGACCGATTCTGTCTTTTAAGGGAGCAAATGATTGCCCCAAGTTGGTCTCTCCCCACTTTCCTCCAATAACTCTCATTTACATAGTATTTGACAAAGTCCTTCCCTTACTGTGAAGGTAGTCATACATGTGTTATTATCCTTATTTCACAGTTTTGGGATCTGAGGCTTAGCAGAGCGATTTGTCCAAGGTCAAGGTCAATGCCAGACTTAAAATGGACCATATGGATTGGACTGGAATGAACTTTAGAGATCTTCAGGTTCAACTCCCTCAATTTATAGCTGAAGATATTGAGGGCCTCAGAGACATTAGGTGACTTTCCCAAGGTCACATGAGTATCAAATGGCAGAGCCAAATCTCACTCTCTTTCTACTATACATTGTTGCTTTTTTAAGCACCCCCGGTATCAAGCTAAGGATGAAAAGACAAATGGACAGACCACAATACCCTCTCCTTTCTTACCCAAGGGTTGGTACTTACTTTTTAAATTTGATGTTGAGGCTTAGAGTTAACAGCCCATGACCTGATAAGTATGCAGTTTTAGAAAATATCTCGTCCACCAAGGCAGCTAAAGCTCCACCATGAGTAAATCTGAGTAGGGGATGGGAAGAAATTAGTTGAAGTTAGAGTCAAACCTTCTCTCCACAACTTCCTCATGAACCTACCTTTCTAGTCTCTACCATCTGCCTTGTCCAGAACAAAATTGGTTAACAGAGAGTTAAAACCAAAGTTAAGTGAGGGGATGATAAAAACACATCCCAGGGTACTGAAAAAAATTGATAGGAATGGTTGATGGTTTATCATCAATTTTCCTTGAAAAATCACGGAGAATGGGAGAGGTGCTACATGACGAAAGATGCACAAATATTGTCTTGATTAAAAAAATCTCTCTCTATGATGCTTTCTTTACCTGGTTTCTGAATTTCTTCACGTGAGAATATCTTTTTAATATACAATATGCAGCCTCTTTTTTTCTATGTGTCAGGCACTATGCTAAAGTGCTTTATTAATATTATTTCATTTAATCCTCACAACAACCTTGTAAAGTTAATGCTATTATTATTCCTATTTTACTTTTGAGGAAACTGAGGCAAACAGAGATTTAAGTGACTTGCCCAAGGACACATAGCTAGTAAGTAGTGGGGCTGGATTTAGATTCAGGGCTTCCTGATTCTATTCTAACCACTTTGCCACTCAATTGCTCAAGAGCTGTGGCCTCTAGACTCATATTTTGTATAAAGTGTTTGCTGAATGAATGTTGACTGACTTCTTGGCCCCATAAGTCAGAGGAGTACCTCTTTTGTCTCCATTGAACCAGCCTGTCCTCAAAAACAACTAAGAATGGTGTAATTACTTACTCCTACTCATCCCCTTACCTTGGAGCGCCTTCCAGGTAGGGACCTGGCTGGAACAGACAGACTGACTTCTTCTTGGATGGGTGGAAAAAAATGACATACTCATAACCTTGTCCTTCCTTTTCAATGCACCTGGTAAAAATGCGGTAGTCTTCTTTGTCTGAGAGAGGGGAAATGTGAAAGAGACACAGAGAAAATTAAAAAAAAAGATATTTCTGTGAGCATAGGGGGAGAGAAATGGGATTCAGTCGTTCATCATATGCATTGATATTCTACATCAGGGGCTCTTAAGTGGAGGTCTACCCCCCCAAGGGGTCCATGGAGAGATTTCAGGGGTCTGTGAACTTGTATGGAAAATAAATTACATCTTTATTTGTGATAACTTCTAACTGAAATTTAGAATTTCTTCCAATTATGAATTTAAAAAATAATTCTCAGAATGAACCCATAGACTTCATCAGATTGCAAAAGATAGCTATGAGACACAAGAAAGTTTAAGAGCCTTTGTTCTATATGTGTGTAGATCCTGGAGGAAGATTTGAAAAATACTTGGCCCTTACCCTGTGAACTCCAGGCTGACAGGAGAACATGATCTGTGACCTTGATAAGCTCCTTGGATTATAGAATTGAGGGCTGGAGAAGAATTTAGAAATCATCTAGTCTAGAGAAGTTAAGTAATTTACCCAAGATTGTGCAGGTGACAGCTAAGAGTTGAATCCAGGTCCTTGTACTCTAAAGCCAATGTAGTTGCCAATATTATACCATGGTCTCCTCTTACCATTTTATGATGGAAAGAACCCTCAGAACATTGATAGGGGCTTGGGGAATGGCCATTGTCCATGGGACCTCTAGTCTGGTAGGGGAAACTGAGGCTCAACACCCAGAACTCTCAGTCTGATGGGAGCAAATGAAATACATGTAAGGAAAGAGGTGTCAAAAGGTTTATAAAGGAGCATCACTCAGAAGGGATGAATGAAAAACAACCCATATTCAACAAGTAATTGCTGAGGACCTACTCATTGCCTTGGTTAGTAGAAGATACACCCAACTTGTAGACAGGAAGAACTTGGTTCAAGCAGAGGGGGGTGCGTTGGACTGGACTCAGGAAACCCAGGTTCTAGTCCATATTTTGACATTGCATTGCTTTGTGATTTTGAGAAAGTTACAAAAACTTTCTTTAGTTGTTTATTGTTTAAAAAAATAATTCAGATTCTTTATTTGTAAAATGAAGGGATTGGAAAGTCCCTTCTAATTCTAATAATCTAAATTTTAAGAACTTGGCTGCTTGAAAGCTGTGTGATCTGGTGCAAGTGTTTTAACTAATCTCCCTGAGCCTTGATTTTCTCATTTGTCACCTGCAAATATTCAAAGAATCTGTGATTTCACTGATGACTAGCAACTGGTCTACCACTTAGTAGATAAAAACAAGGGAACTGTCTGAGGCACGAAAGAGGTCATCCTCAATTCTTCCCTCTCCTTCACCCCACAAATCTAATCAGTTGTCAAACCTTGTTCCTACATCCACAATATGTCTCAAATCCAACTTCTTTTCAGTAATAAAGCCACCATTCTAGATCAACCCCTCATCTTTCTAGACCAGCTCCACCACTGCTCTAGGTCAGGCTCTCATCATTCTAGATCAAGCCCTCATCATTTTAGATCATGCCCTCATTCACCTCTCACTGGATTACCACAATGGTGTCCTAATGTGTCTCTTTGCCTCAACCCATCCTCCACACAGATGCCAAAGTGATTTTTCTCTAAGTTTAGGTCTGACTGCGTCACTCCCTCAATCCATATATTCTAGTGTCTCCTTATCGTCCCTAGGATCAAATGTAAACTACTTTGATTGGCATTAAAGCTTTTCAAAGCCTGGCCCCGGTCTGTGTTTCTAGCCTTGTTACACATTATTGCTCTTCCTGAACATCGTGGTCTGGTTACATTGGCCTTCTTACTACTCTTCATGCATAACACTCCTTTTATCTCTGTGTCTTTGTACTGACTCTTCTCCCTTCCCCCCCCCCCCCCCCCCCCCCCCCAGTATCTGGAGCATATTCCCTCCCTCTTCTCCTTTGCCTCATGTAATACTCACTTTCTTCAAGGCTTAGTTGAAGTGTATCTTTTAACTTGGAGCCCTTCTTGAACTCCACCCCCCCAGCTATGTGTGCTCTCCATCCCCAAACTAGTTCGTAGTTATTTTGTGTATTTTTATATATACATATCGTCTCTCCTGATAGAAACTTTGTGAGGGCAGGGACTGTTTAATTTTTGGTTTTGTATTCCTAGCACCTAGAACCTGGTACTTAGTTGGTGCTTAATAAATGCTTTTGGATTGACCGAGTGGCCAGGTTTTGACAGCTAATAAATAACCAAAATGGAATTTGTATCCAAATCTAGACTCCAAGTTCAGTGTCTATTTACTATGTCATGATGCCTCTCTCCCTGCCATAAAAAGTTTATACCAGTACAAACCACTTACCCCAAGTGGATTGTTGCAAGGACATGGGTAGCGAGGCAGCATGGTGGATAGAGCAGTGGGCCTGGGCTGGGGAGACCTAAATTCAAATCGGGTCTCAGACTTTTACTAGCTATGTGATCCTAGGCAAGTCACAACTCTGCTGGCTTAGTTTCTTCGATTATAAAATGGGGATAGTAATAGCATGTACTTCCCAGTGTTGTTGTGAGGATCAAATGAAATAATATTTGTAAAATGCTTAGCACAGTGCCTGGCACATAGTATGTACTCGATAAATGCTTTTCTCTTTTCTACCCCCTTGTCAAACAATTTCTAATCCTAAAGATGTAAGTGTAAGGTAGCAGCAGTCTACTGGGCACCATAATGTGACATAATGTGAGGGGAGCAGCTTTAAGTAGGAGGATTTCACACAGCGTGAGGAGAGAGGTAAATTTGGTTAAGGAGTGGATGACGTTAAGGAACAGAATGATGCCTTGCTTGTACTGAGGATGAGAAGCAGTTCTTGCAGGCACATGCTTACCTGAAGGCTAAGGAGGGACTCTTTGGGCTGTTCTCTTTTTTGAGAGGAAAAAAAATGTGGCATTTCTTTTATGCTTGGTGCCTGAGACCTTTGAAAAAGTTATTGACTAACCTAGAGCTAAAATATAAAGAATTTAGATTAGTTTGAAGGTAGTAGAATCTTTAATCTAAACACAGGTCACATTTGCAAAGTACTTTAAAGTTTAGAAAGCTCTGTTCTAACATAACTCTGAGGTGGGCCTTAGGGTGTTAGAGCCGATAAGCACTTTTTGTTGCTGGTTTTCAGGCATTTTTCAGTTGTTCAGTGCAACCCTTTGTGGGATTTTCTTGGCAAGGATACTGGAGTGGTTTGCCATTTCCTTCTCCAGCTCATTTGACAGATGAGGAAATTGAGGCAAACAGGGTTAAGTGACTTGCCCAGGGTCACACAGCTAGTAAGCATCTGAGGCTGGATTTGAGCTTAAGAACATGAATCTTCCTGACTCTAGGCCCGGCACTCTATCCACTGCACTACCTAGCTGCCGTTTTAGGGGTTATCTAGTTCAATTTCTTCATTTTAAAGAGGAGGAAAATGGAGGGCAGGGGAAGATAAATCAAGAGGCTTGTCTAGTAGGGCAAGTATTGGTACCCTTATCTTACATAGGGGGAAACTTAAGGCCAGAGAGATTTAGTGATTTGGTCTGGGTCACATAATCAGCTAGGTAGTGTACTGGATTAGCAATCAGGAAGCCTGCCTCTAGTGTGACCTTGGGGAAGTCATTTACCTGTACCAGCCTCACTTTCCTCATCTGTAAAAATGAGGATTTTAATAGTGCCTACATCCTAAGTTTGCTGTGAGAATCAAACAAGATTACATACATAAGGTATTTTATAGATTTTAAAGCACCTCATAAATGTTAGCTATCATCATTGTCATAATCCTCATCATCCTCGTCATCATCATGTGGGAGCCAGGACTTAAATCTAAATCTTTCAATTCAAAGAACAGTGCTCTTGTTCAATCTTGGAAGTGAGATTGACTTTCTCTTTTCCAAGAAGCTTTTAAAACTAGCACAGTTTCTTGGCCTCAGATAGTTTAAGTAAAGTTCTGAATGGAGGTATGGAATTGGTGAAGGGCTGAGATCACCTCTATAAGTCTCTGAGGGAATAGTAGTGTATTATTCCTGAATAGTGAGGGTGTGTGTGTGTGTGTGTGTGTGTGTGTGTGTGTGTGTGTATGTTGGGAGGAGGCATGAAGGAAGTCAGGACTTACCTGATGTGGCTCTAAATTCACCTGGGATCTTCAACCCTCTGATGTGGTCACTATTGCTCTTGAAGGAAGGAAGTTTGATCCAGTCCCCATCCTTTGTCTTTTCTAGATACTCCTTGTACAAGCGCGTCATCTCAGGGTTCCAACTGGCGTTGGGAAGGGCATAATCCTTCAGGTTTGTATTCTTTGGACAGAACCTGGAAATCTAGAAAGAATTTAATTTCAGAGTAGCACAATCTTCCGGGAGAAAACCAGGCAGATAGATGCCTTGGAGGTGGGGTCACTTAGAAGAATCAATTTCCGGGCTAATTTCTTTGGCTTCTCTGCTCCCAGAAAAGTACCAGAAATCTATACAGTTTATAGAATCCTAGATTTAGAAAGGTCAGCTTCCACCCATTTTGCAGATAAGGAAACTGAAGGTCTGAGAGTTTCAGTGCAGAGGCAATGTTTGAACCTAGTTGAACCTCTCCACATAGTTCTTTTTCTAACACATCCTAGCGACTCTAGATACTGGACTTGGGTCAAGGGCCCAGTTGCCCTCTGGGAAAAAGAATATAGCTTTGTCAGGACAGGGAGAAATGCAATCACTCAACCTCCACTTTCCTAAAGGTTATCGCCATTCTAGCTTCAGGGGGGATCTCTCTGCTTAGTTCTGGCTCCCCGCTTATTTTATTACTGAGTGGCCCTTCCTGGGAGGTGGAGTAACTCCCTTTGCAATGAAAGTTTCCTCTGCAAAATGGATCCAAAGCCAGGGGCTTGGAACAGTGTGTACACATCTAACCATGCATGTGTCCCCAACAACAAGGGCGTAAGCTGGGTCACATGTCTGTACTTTTCACTTTGCTGATCAGATGCTAGTTCGGGTCAGTAATAGCCCCATGACCTTCCCATGCCAAGGATCATGAAAAATATAAAAATCAGAATTCTCCCTTTGAAATAAACTCAAGACCTCTTAAGTGCCGGCTTTCTTTTCCCTTATCATAGAATGTTAGAACTAGAGTACTGGGCCTGGAGTTGGGAAGACCTGAGTTCAAATCCAGCCTCAGACTCTTATTAACTTTGTAACCCTGGGTAAGTCCCAACCTCTCCCAGCCTCAGTTTCCTCAATTATAAAATGAAGATAATAATAGCCCCTACTTCACAGGGTTGTTGTGAGGATCAAATGAGTGCTCTGTAAACCCAAGAGAGCTATAGAAACGTTAGCTCCTTAGTATTATCTAAGCCAACCTCCTCATGTTACAGATGAGGAAACCGAGGCCCGGAGAGGTCAGTTGACTTGTCCCAGGTCATACATTGAGTCAGTTGCAGAGCCAAAGCTAGAATTCAGTCCAATGTTCTTTGCACTATACTATTTATTCACAGGCTCAATTTTTATTTATTGTCTCAATTGATCAAGAAACTTTTATTTTTTAAAAAAAAGTCTTTATTAAATGCCTACTATGTGCCAGGCACTAAGATGAGGATACAAATATAAAAGTAAGATAGTCCCTGCCCCCAATGAGCTTTTATTCTTCAGAGGAGACGCAACAGAGAACAGAACAGAGGTAAGTCAATACGGTATACATAGACATGATTTTCACATGTTACACAAAACGATTTCTGTGCTGAGGGTACTAATATCTAGAGGAATCAGGAAAGGTAGCCCTTAAGCTGAGCCTTGAAGGGAGCTATCAGTCAGTCAACAACCATTCATTAAAGATCTCAGATTTAGAGCTGAGAGGGGACCAAACTCCTTATTTAACAGATGAGAAAACTGAGGGTCAGAAAGAAGAAATGGTTTGTCCAATAAAATAGCTAATAAATATTAGAGCTGGGATTCAAACTCTCCTGACTTCAAGGCTAGTGTTCTTAGCATTATATCACATTGCCTGTCAGTTGTAACTTGTAGGGAAAACCAAGGGTGAGTGAATTCTAAGGTACCTATCCCACTATGTCTGAGCTGTTCACACGCTTAGGGGGAGCTTTATAAAAAGAGCCCAGTACTCAGTACTTACCAGGCTGTCTGTGGATGAGCTGAAGCTTGTTCGGAGAACTAGCTTGGGAGTGTATCTGTGCAGGACACTCAGGGGCCTGAAGCTTGGGGTTCCGAGAAGGCCCCTAGAGGGGCCAAACTGTGGCACCAGCCAGAGGCTTCTGCTCATCATAGTCCTGACACGGGTGTGCTTGTCTGCTGGCTTGGAATCTGAAAGACCTTCAGCAAAGAGGCTCTGGAGAGGAGACTCAGATTTTATCAGTGGGATTGCTAATGTAATCACTTCCCAGCCAAGTGAAACTCCTGCCAAAACCTTCAGCAGCAAGACAAAAGTTTCCGCTGCAGAGAGCATGGATTTCATCAGGGAAGCATGCAGTCTTGTTTGATACAGTGCGTAGCGAACAGCACTGGGCACTCTCCCTGAAGTACATCGTTCCAGTGCCTTTTGGAGAAAAACCTCAAGTGATGCAACAATTCTTAGAGGGCATAAGCTTGCTCCATGCCCCATACCCCAGAGTTCTGGGAAGGTTCTAGGCTAGCATCATCCTAGGTGAATTTAATTCGAGCTGCAGACTTGGAGGAGTTGCCTAGGTATGTAGGTACAATTATTTTCCCAAGTTTTCTCTCATCCTGTCAGTTTTCAGGAAGGGCAAGGATTGTTCTCCAGGCCAACTTGCCCTTCAATTTCCCAACCTGAGTGCCTCTCGTAGGCTTCTGTACTGCTCTGGACTGGAATAAGATTCTGGCTTTTCCAGAATGTCGTCTAGTAGTATATCTAAGTACTACATACATATACACACACATACATATATATACATATTGTATATATACATATGTACATATATATACATATTGTATATATACATATGTACATATATATACACATATTGTATATATACATATGTACATACATATATATACATATTGTATATATACAATACATATATTATATATATACATATTGTAAGGAAGGTGAATTTTAGTGTGTGTGAAGTGGATTTTTTGTTATTCTTTCTTAGAGTTTTCTTCCCAGGATCCATAGCTGTAACAATCTCTACTTGCTGGGTGTTAGATATGAGTTCTCATGATCATAGTTGGAAACAGTTTCTACTGCGCAGTCACAGTAGATATAGGGGTAAAGTGATGTAAAATTGTGAGGCTATTGCTGGCAATGTGCCTTCTTTTTCTGTTACCCTAGCAGGTAGGCACTCGTCAGTGACTGGGGACCCCCATGGGGTGAACGTGCAGGCTGAAAGCTGTGCTTACTTTGATCGGCCCCCATCAAGGCTTGGGAGGAGGAATCTGTGTGTTTGCCTCAACCGGCCCCCATTGAGGCTTGAGGGGATTTAGGGGAGTACACAAGTTGTGCTGGTCTCGACTGACCCCATCAAGACAAGCGGTAGTTGCCCCCCCTTCACACCAGCCCCTTCGAGAGGGGTTGTTAGAGAATGCTGTAGGAGATGGTGCTCCCATTATCAGCAAACTCCCTTTGAGAAGACTAGACTAGAATAAAGTAAACTTATTTAACCCCTTATTATGATTCCATTTCTGTCTTCCTGTCTGACCTGATCAAAAGCGAATCTGCTAATGAGAGAGGTGCTAGAGCCCTTCTGTATCTCTTTCCTAAGAAATGGCGTAGTCAGTGTGTTTACTTGTCCAACACACATATATATATACATACATACATATATATACACATATGTATGTATATATACATTTGCACATAATAAGTGCAGATTAGGAAAGAAAAAAAGAAAAAATTTACATGATAATTTTGTTGTATATTTGAAAGTGATAGTAAGTTATGCATAGTAGATTTATAGTTTCATGTACGATTGTCTTTTTTTATTGTATTTTGTTATGGAAATGCTTGTTTTATTCCATAAATTAAAAAGAAAATTAAAAAATTATAGGAATTCACATGGCTTGTATTTATGCATCAACTTATATACCTTACTATTTCTGAATGAAATAGTATAGTGATTGAAATAATGGAGAAACCCAAAAATAATGGAGAAATCCTTTTTTGGTTTGCCAGAAGATTTGAAGAAGTTTAGACAGGACAAAGCCAAGTTCAAAGCAAAATAGCTCTTCAACAGTCCTACAAAATATTTCATGTTTTGATATTTAAGTATCACCACACTGGGAGAATATAATAGTAGTAATGTGTTATTGTTTTATATTTTATTTCTCAAAGTGTGTTTATGAGTGTTTTGTGTTTTAAGCATTTCTTTTGTGGTCGAGGAAATATTTTATTAAAAAATTGAATTGTTTAATGCTTTCATTCCACTCTCCTTACTCTTCTACCACGTCTCATAAAATACAGGGTTGGGAGAGGAAGAGTGGCCAAATTAGGCTATTGATTGTAAGGGTCAGTGGGGATAGGACATATTTCTCACACCTAGAAACTCAAACTGTGGAAGAAAAGGCAATGATTTCTGAAGAGATAGGAGGCAAAGTGCAAAACAGAATGAGGAAGTTTCTTTCTGTGTCCAGTTTTCCCTTGCCTACATCACTATTCCCTCATGATGAACTTTGGTAATGTCCCTGCCATGAAGAGGGCATCAGATTAAAAAGCAATGGCTGTCAGGAGTTTCACTTTGCTCTAGACTTCAAGTCTGTGCCCCATGCCACAAGTCCCTGGTTCATAATTCCCAAGTCTTCACCTAATGACCAACTCTATTAAATGTATGAGTTGAACATCAGTTTTGAACTGTTGTTATATTGTCTACACTTCTTTGCCTATGAGTAGAAAGAGCAGGCAAGGGGGATTAAACAAACTGACCTGTACGTTTCCTAACACTCCTGGGTTCGGAATAGCTCATGTACTGCTTGGAAAACTGCTTGGGTCTGAGAAAGGCCATTGGCAATATACCTTCTTTGTCGGTTGTCCTATAAAGCGTGGGTACTGATCACTATGTGGGGGAATCCATTTTGGGATTTAGGTAATGCATAGAGGAATGCATGTACCTGCCTTGATAGGCCCCCATCAAGACTTGGGAGGAATCTGTGTTTGCCTCAACTGGCCCCCATTGAGGCTTAGGGGATGAGGAGTTGTACTCCTATTTTCATCCACCCCTATGAGAATTGTGATTAGGGAATGCTATAGGAGTTGGTGCTCCCATTATCAGCAACCCTTTTGAGAAGTCTAGACTAGAATAAAGTAAGCTTATTTAACCCCTTGGAAGCTGTCTTCCTTGTCTGACCGGATCAACAGTGAACCTGTGCTAGTACACCTGTTAGTGTTAGGAGCCCTCCTATGTTCTCCTGCCCAACAAATGTGTTACCTGTGTATTTACCTGTGAAACACTACCCCCAGCCAAGCATGAGACCTCCTTCCCCCAGGTGCTTATAGCTGCTGGGCCCTCAAGTGATAAGTAAGTGATATCAATAGTCTGAATCCTTATACCCTTGGGCAAATCAAGTTTTGCAGAATGTCTCAATGTCTTTTAAGAAAAAAAACAAGCCTAATCTCTATGGGGGTGGGGAAGGGTTAGGATATTACTTCTTCCACATCTGGATTGTGTTGGGCAGTCAGTGGGTCTCTGTGTTGCACTTCAACAGCAGATATTATCAGCTTGCCATAATAGAGGAAGATAAGAAGAGTCTTCATCTGTTCAGGGGGATTTTAACCAATTTGTTGGGTATCCTAAAGGATTTTGGGGGCCCTGCTATGTGCCCTTGGTTCACAGTGTAGGTAGTGGGCAATTTGAATGACTTAGAGCTATTTATTTTTCTGGGTGATCTCAAAGATCTGGGAATATCTTTGAAGACTACTGATGGTGTTAGATCAGCTAAAGATAACTGAAGATATATCAGCCAGAAGCTATTGGTCTAAAATTGTCAATTGACAAGTGCCCATTTTATTGAATTTCTGTCAGGTAGCTCTCTATGGAGCCAGTTGCCTGCTGGATATCCCTAGTTGGATGTCTTTCTAGAATCTCACATTCAACGTGGCTAAAAAAGAATTCATCATGTTTGCCCCTAAACTTGTCCCTCACCCTAATCTCTCTATTTCTTTTAATGGCATCACCATCCTGGCAGCTAGGTTGGCAGCAGATAGTCTTAGACTTGGAGTTGGGAAGACACAAGTTTGAAGCTTTATCAGATGTGTGAAGCTGGAAAAGTCTTGATTATGTCACACTGAGCCCATGGAATACTATTCTAACAACTTCCTCTTCTTTTCCCTCCTCATTCAAACCCAGCCATATCCTCTGATCCCACTCCAATCTCATCCCTAGTCCCATGCCTATGAGATTCTTTTAGCCTCAATTGTATCTGAGTAGGAAGTGAGTACTGATGCTGAGAAAACAGAAGGGCCTGTTAATTTGGCCACTTCTAAAGAATTATTGGGAGCTGGAGATGTTTCTGGGATTCAGTGTCTATGATCAGAGATTTGTGAAGAGTTTTGCCATCATAGCAAGGCTTCTCAGTGACTTCACCTGTGCATAATCATGAACAGGAGGACAGAAAGGAAGAGTCTGGAATTGACCCTTTGGTACCTTTTGGAAATCCCTTGGATGAGAAATATGACCAGATTTTTAAGGGCTTGGCTAGCTATCTTACATGGCAGTGCTGGCTTTGAGGAAAGAAGAAGAAGGAGAAGGAGGAGGAGGAGGAGAAGAAGAAGAAGAAGCATGGAGTTATATTCTATTTTAATTAAGTGGCAAAATAACCAGGTTCAAGTTTGGATTCACTGATATCTAGCTAAAGAGGATCATTATTTGTTCGTTTTTAAATGGGGGAAAATGTCAGAAACCAAACAGGTAATTTGGTTGATCATGAGAAAAATTTTAAACAACCTCAATTTTCTCTGGATGAGAACAGTACGCTTCAGCTGTCTTATTTTACTGCATCTCTTATCTCATTCAAACCAAGCTTCTGCTCTATCAGACAAGGAGTTCTTATTGTTTCTTACTTGCCTTTACTTCTACAGTTATAGTAACAACACAGAGACCCAGAAACCAGAAATGTGGAAGGGTGGGCTGGCACTTAAGCTGTATGTGGAATACCACTCCAACAATCAGGATAAACTTTCATTTCAATGATAACAACATTTTTTACTAGTTTAAGAAAAACCTCAAACCCAAGTATTTTTTGTGTTAAATACCAATGTGGTTTTGTGTGTGTGTGTGTGTATGTGTATGTGTATGTGTGTGTGTGTGTGTTAAATACCAATGCCAACCTAGTTAGGGTGGTCTTGTACTATGAGGAAGGTGACAGCAAACAAGTGGA